ATTTCAACATAATATGTAGTAGTCATACATAACCTTAAGCTCTAGTCAATACATTTCTAGTAACTATTAATTATTACAAGCTTGACTATTTGACACAAACGACCTCTAGGCAGCGGAGCGACTATGAGTTGAAGTCTAGAGATGCCATTACCTAGGTTGTAGCCAGCCTCGAGATGCTGAATAAGGCACTAGAACTGATTACTTATCTGCAAAAAAAAATAAGGAGGGGTGAGTCTCACAGACTCAATGATCATCAACTCCGTGAGTAGGGCGTAGCTGGGAAACAAGCTAAAGGTAGAAGATTTGAATATTAAAAACATAAGAATATAAGTAGACAATTTACTCAAAAAGGGAAGTTTGTACCTTATATAAAAATAAGTAAATTTATGCTAAATAATCATTTAAATCAAATATCAACCCAAGTCATGGAAAGATTCCTACCATCAAAATCACTTAACATCGGGTTTAAAGTAATTAAATGTCATCATGCATGCTTCCGTAAAATCTAACATTTACAAAACTTATGTGCAATTTCATAATTCATCTCATACACAAAGAATTAAATCGAATTTCATCATATAAGCAAGGGAGCAATAGAAAAACTATTCTTTTTCACCATATGAAAATTACTTATGTGAAAAACCCAAAGAGATATCACTCTCGAGTGGGAATAGAAATATAAGCACATGGACCCGCTTCCACGTAATAACGTCCAGGAGCTTCGCTCCACCGGATCTCCACATTCCATGGCAATCTCAATGATGTTGGCCGACATCGGAGAAATCAGGCGGTCGCAACCGCGTATAATAACTTGTGACCTAGCTACGTAAAATCACAGACCCTAGCCCCAGCCATGTCTAACAGCCCATCAACGACCCAAAAGTTCTCTAGCTAGAGCTCACTTGTGTAAAAGGGTCACACTTAACCGGAGTGATAGCCGGCCTACTCTCAAATCTCCCGGTTTAATGAAACCGTTTTAAAATATAGTTGGGTCCTCAAAATGCATTTCAAAAATCATTATCAAAATGTTCACATAGCACATGATAAATTCTCGAGTAAGACTCTAAAATATAACTTGTTATATGAGATTGAAAGATCATTTAGCATGGTGAATATATGTTTCCATCATGACTGCATATCACACAAACTATAAGGCACATACTTGACATAAATCGTAAAGAAAAACTTGTTTCCCAACTTCAAGAACCTTTACGTATATTTATATATGTATATAGCTTATATATTTTCAAAGCCATTTTCAAAGTCATAACATCCACAATTTCCTAATATTTCTACCAACTCATGCTTTCCACAATTTTTTTTCATTAAAATAAATCAACACATATTTATATATATATACATAATCATAGGAAATTTTAAAATGGATACTGCCTACTCACCTTACAATAGCGGGATACTATGGCGCTATTAATTCAAGTTCGTATCTAGCTAATTCTACTTGCAATCTCTTGTTACTTCCTCCAACACGCCGTTTCGACGGATTACTTACTATATTTTTCCTAACAACTATTCAAACCCAGTACATTTAATTACACTAATAAATGGCAGCATATCAACCATCAATCCTTAACTAAATCTCATAAATTTTTATCAACATCCCCCACAACATTTATTACACAATCCATATACTTTAACCAACCAAACTCATACAACACAATATAATCACCTAGCATGCTTATCTCACAGTTTATGTTTGAATTTCTCAAATATAATTCACAACCTCTTCACATCTAAGATTACCTCTTCTGCCACAAGCATAATTACACATAAAAATCAATTTACAAAGCATGCTTTCATCCAAACTAACAATTTCCACTTCCTTACCATAAAATCTTGAGCCAAAGCACTAACCCTTCTTAAGTTCGGTTATGGGGGAGGAAAAAGGGAAGAAACTTCATGAGGAGGAAGGAGGAAAGAAAGAAACATACAAGAAAATGGAGAAAGGACTTGATGTCCGGTTGG